GCCAGCCAATATGGCATTGGTGCCGTGCTTGCGCAGCAGGAGGGGCCAAAGTTGAGGCCGGTCGAGTACATGTCCAAGAGGATGCCCTGTCATGAGTTGGCTAACTCCACCTATGAGAAGGAGCTTTACGCGATCTACAAAGCGCTAACCCGTTGAAGACACTATCTCCTTGGGAGGTTCTTCTACGTCAAGAAGACCCTGAGGTGTATGAGAACCCAGCCGGTGCTCTTCGATGGCGCTGAAATGCTGGATTGAAGTCATTGAGCAGTATGACTTCGAACCCCAGTATATCAAAGGGGAGTATAACAAAGTTGCTGACGCGCTGTCGCATAGGCCGGACTTCCTGGGTGCGCTGATCACGGAGTTTGGGCTTGCGGACGATGTAACGTGGGTCCTTGGTGGAGCTTATCACGAGGATCCGTTTATGTCAGAGATCATACGCAGGCTGGAGGCGAAGGACAAAGTAACTTCTGACGAGTTTGTGTGGTCAATGGCCTGCTGTTCCTTAAGAAGCCCGAGAGTAGACGATTGTGTCCCCCAAATCGGGAGTCTTTGCGTAGTTTATTTTTAGGTAAGTGTCGTGATGCCACAGGGCATTTTGGTTATAAGAAGACTGCAGCCAACTTGCTGCAACACTTCTGGTGGCCCACAATGATGAAGGATGCCAAGCTGTACGTCGAGACTTGTCAGGTGTGTCAGAGGGACAAGCCACGTACACAGGCCCCTCTTGGGCTTCTCAAAGCCCTTCCGCTTCCGGAAAGGCCCGGTGAGAGCCTGTCCATGGACTTCATGGACACGCTGGTCACCAGCAAGAGTGGTATGAGACACATCCTCGTTATTATGGATAGGTTTACTAAGTACGCCAGGTTAGTCACAATGCTGAAACAGCAAAGACCGAGTCGTGATTAGACTATTCAAAGAGAACTGGGTCAGAGACTTTGGGCTTCCAAAGTCTATTGTTAGTGACCGGGATGTCCGATTCACAAGTGAATTGTGGAAGGCTGCAGCTGCAGAACAAGGGATGCAGCTGCAGATGACCTCCGGGAACCACTCAGAGGCAAACGGGCAAGCAGAGCAGCTGAACCGCGCTGTACAAGACCTGCTAAGGCACTATATCAAGCCTAATCAGGTGGACTGGGATGAGAAACTTGCTCTCGTCGCCAGTCTGTACAACAACGCTGTGCACAGCGCAACAGGGGTGAGCCCTAACAGTCTGCTACTGACATTCAAGCCTAGACTGCCCCTAGACTTTCTACTACCTGAGAACCAGCCGGCTGCTGCACCGGGCACCTTAGAATTCGCTTATCGATATGAACGCCTGATGCAGCAAGCCATAGAACAGATGCATAGAGCAGAGGTGCAATGATAGAATGTGAGAACCAACACCGCCGCCCATCTACATTCCAGGTAGGGGACAGAGTCTGGGTCAAAGCCTCTGAACTGGGGCAGGAGCATGAGATCTCCCGCAAACTCATGCCACAGTACTTTGGGCCATGGGAGGTTCTAGATATTGTCGGTAATGATCCGGATGGGCGATCGTATGTAATACGGATCCCTGGTCACCTTCGCACCTACCCTGTCTTTCATGCCTCCAAGCTCACACCTTTCGAGGAAACTGACCAGTTTCCCTCTCATCGCTCAATGCTGCCCCCAACCATGGATGAAGAGGTCGACATCGACGACATCGTGGAACACAGAGAAATGCCAGTTCCAAGACTTAACAGGCAGGGGACGTCCTCCTAAACCGAAGCTGCAATATCGCGTTCGGTTCAGACATCACACTGATCCAAAAGAGGACAGATGGTTTACCCGGGAGGAACTGATGCAGACCGCTCCACAGGTTGTTGCACAGTATGAGAGGTCACTGCAGAAAGGAAAGCGCCAGATTGAGTGATTGAACTTCTCAGAGGACTGTCGAAGTATGGATGAGGGAATGCGAGGCTCAAGGCCTCGTTGAGCCCTACTGGGCCCTGTTTTCAGCAATATCGGCCGCCCTAAGTGTAGGTAGGCGTGACAGGGGACGAGAGGCCTATTTCGGGCTTTCCATGCAACTGGGAAATTCAGGCAGTTGCGCAGCGCTAGTTGGTTGAGAGAGCCCACGCCCTGCCTGCCTTTTTCCAAATGTATCTGAGGCAGGCCCTGGGTTAGACATGGGGCATGGACTGCACACAGCCCGCTGGCAGTTGGACACGGGTAACCACCCCAGGCCCTGTGCCTGATTCCCTTGGACCGGGGCTCAGCCACTTGGGGCCTACCGGAAGCTTCTGGGAAGGGCCCAGCTCAGCCAGGCAGGCCACTTCCATATAGGAAAGTGCCTGCCTCCGCATTTGGCATTCGGGCACTTGCTACATGCTGCGCAAGCGCTGCTGCGCTACTGGCGGGCAAGCGCCCACGCGCTCACGGGCGAGCAGGTTACACGCAGGCAGCCATAGCAGAGCTGGCCTGCGAGGTGCTGGGTGGGGTGCATGGTGGTCCTTGGGTGCACGTGGCATCTGTGTGGGGGATCGAGGTTGTGAGTGATGCGTGAGACATACCTGGTGCTTGAGGCGAACGGCATTGTCCGAGATCTGCTCGTTCTTCGGGGAGCTGTTGACGTCAGCAGAGGCATTGTAGATAGGCTAGATAGGATCTGCCATTCGTAGTCTGGGTGCCTAGATAGATCGGCATTGGTTCATTGTTGATGATGATGAGATTATTCCAACATTGTCACTTGTGAGCTTTTGCTGTGCTCTTATTTGGTGGAACTCGAGTTGCAATTC